AAAGAACGATTCCTACACCCAGGGCTGACTGTGCCGTACACGGCCCACCTCAGCATCCCTGGTGCTCCTGGCCAAGGAAGCCCGTCCCCCCCCATCGGCTCCTCTTGCCCCGAAGGGGCCAGTTTCACTTCGCCGCGCTCGGTTCAGGCCGTAATACCGGGGGGCAACTTCCGCTGGGGCGCAGGTTGCCCCACATCTCACCCACGGCTCGGCATAGCTAGACAACCCACACTGGACAAGTGGACCTACCCTCCTTTTCGGGCCCGACGCGGGGGGTCCCCCCCCCAGTACCCGACATCTCACCCCTTCTGGCACAACAGAGGGCCCGCCCGACCAGGGCAGATTCACTTTGCTGTCCGACGACGACAACCAACCCACCCGCTGGTGGCGGGGGGTCGGCCACGGGACGCCCCCCCCCGCGCGACGGCGGGTCGACCTATCCAGGTCGTAGTTTTGGCAATACCGACTCTAGCGGCGATCAGCTGCGACCCTGGAGGACCAACACCCACCATCCCCGCTGAGGCATCGCTCTCCGCAGGGACGGACCAGCACTCAGCGCAGCCCGAGATCCGCGGTGAGGCTCCCGCCCGTCCCTCGGCGCCATGACCTTCGAAGGACCCACCCAATATTTCACTGACCTGAGCGGCGATCAGCTGCGACCCAGGAGGACCACCACTTCCCCTATCCCACGGGTGCGGGGGCCTGACCGAGGAGAGGGGCGGCTTTCCCCCCGCCTCTCTCCTCGGGGGCCTGGCGGGTGTCCCCCGCTCTTGGCCCCGGGGACCGCCGACGTATTGTCCGACGTTGGTGGTGTCCCCCCCCTCCCTGGGCCGCCCACGCCCACCGCTGTACGTGGGCTGGTTTTGCTCTCCCAGCGGCGGTCAGCTGCGACCCCAGAGGACCACGTGGTGTTCGGTGACGTTCCAGGGGCCTGGGTGGAAGTGCCAGCGGCGGGCTTGGCCTGACTTGCGTCCGACGGCCCTCTTGTCTTCCACTGTGCAGCCCCCCCAGGCTCACCGCCCTGAGACAAGAGCACACCCCGCCCGTACCGGCGCCACGTGCCCCGTGAGGTGCAGCTCCACCTGTGCTTTTGGGGACCCACCCGCTCTGGTCCGGTTCGCCGTCACGGCACCACCACTTCCAGTGCGTTCCATCTTTCTTTCTTCGCTGGCGATGCTCACCACGGCAGCGGGTCCCCCCCCACTCAGTCGCCTTGCCGTGCCGGCACGCGCTGGATGGCTCACAGTCGCTCGGTTACCGCCTGGCACTGTGACGTGGTCTGACTGGGGCTGGCCAGGGTGCAGAGTGGTTCAGCCTTCAGCAGCAGGTTCAGTCCTACAGACCCACCTTCAGCCTCCCCAGCTGCGTTGCACCACGGCTCACGACTGCTCAGCCTGTCTGGCTAGCTCAGGTCGTCCGTTCGGAGCCTGGCGCCACATTGGCGACTCACTCCAATAGCCATCACGTCTTCACCAAGCACGAAGGACTTGCCCATCGTGGATCGCGTCCCCTCTGTGCGGGTTGTGCCTTGGCCGCTTGAATTCCGTGACAATTTGTCCAATGCGCGTGCCCGAGCTTGCAGTGCGCCGTGCAGTTCAGCTTCACCCGTCAGCTTGCAGCTGTCTGAGTGGGCCGGCCGGCCGCGCCTGTCTTTGCTAATTCGCCTAGTTCGCGTCCCGGACTTTGCTTTCGCCGCCTGACCGTCGTTTCGTGGCCGCGACCAAAAAAAGTATCCCCACCAGCCCATCCAGAAACGATCAGCAGGGGAGTCGGTGAATCAGGGGCGGGAGGACGCATGCAGTTGCGCAGCCGTCTTCGGGAAAACATGGATCACAAAGAGCTTACCGCATTGAAATTTAAGATGGCAACCGGTGCAAGCTACCATGGTGCTGCGATGAGGGGTGAGGGGTGTTTCGATGACTCGTAATGGCTGTTGCATTGATTTGTATATTAAGCTCGCATGCGTTTCGAGTTTGGAGCCATGTTGGGGCTCTCTTGGGGTTCTCTTGGGGCCATCCTGGAGCTCTTTCTTGGGGTTTTCGTGCGGTTCCATTCGGGCCTTCTTGGAGCCTTCTTAGGGGCTCTTTTGGAGCGTCGTGGGGCCCTCTTGGGGCTCTTTGGGGGGGTCGGGGGGCCTTTTTGGGGCTCTCTTGGGATGCCCGAGGGGCCTCTTGGGGCCGCCTTGGACCGTATCGCTAAAAAAACGGGGGTCCTTAATTCCTGCCCCCCCCCGTCGGGGGCTCAAACATGCCGTCCCGGTTCCCTCTTGGAACGCTCTTGGGCGCTCTTGGGGCCGTCTTGGGGCCCTTTTGGACCCCTCTTGGGGCTATCTTGGGCCGTTTTGGGGCCATCTTGACGCCTCAAGAGCCCACCGGTATCGACAACGCGATAAAGCAAACCACATTGGGTTTCCTCAGGTTTTTAAAGGATGTTGGCCTCTTGGGGGGGTCCTCGGAGGCCTCGGACAGCATTTGAAACCGTCTTGGGCCGTCTTGAGGCCTCTTGGACGCGTGTCGAAGGCTACCTGGGCCCATCTATTGCTATCTTGGGCCATCTTGGAGGCCATCTTGCACTCTCTGAAGCCCTCTTGGAGCCATCTTGGGCCGAAAAGGGCCCTCTGACACCTCGCGGGGGAGCCCGTCCAGACGCAGGGAGTGGAGGGGAGGTAAACCTCCCGAGCAGGGAAAGGAATGATGCTGGAAAAGGAGACGCCCTAGACCACCTGCGCCCAAAGGGCTGGTTGGATGCCTGGTCTGTCGTACGTGCCTCGCCAAGGCGCGTACGGAACCTACGATCATGCTGCTCATTCAGGGCAGTGGCCATGTGTGTGTGTGTGTGTGTGACCCGTCCCCGCTGCAGAATGAGCGAGCTAGGTTGACGATTGGCCTTGGTGGATTGCACTCTGCACCGACCCACTTGTCCAGGCTCGAAGGCTATCCAGCTTGCGTTGTCTAGGGCTCGCGCTTTCCCAGGGCCTGTTTCTGGTGGCTCGGGGCCATCTTTGGGGTCTGAGGATTCTGGGGGATTGGTGGATTGCCGTCGGAGCCCAGGCCGCGGGAGGGGGACGGGGAGTGTGAGTTTCGGTGCTTCATCACCCTGGGGCATGGGACGGAACGAGTTGGTCCGTATATCTTCTGTACTGCGTGCAGGTATTACGGTGCCCATAGATTGGGGCCAAGCTTAGAGCCATGTGTGTTCCCACCTCCTCAGGTACCTTGCCTCTGACTGAGAGGTGTTCTTTGACGAGCATCCGTGAGGGGAAGCACCCGAAAACTGGTTTAAGATCTCGGGGGCGCTGTTGTTGACTCTTAGTTCGTTTGGTCCCGCCCCGTCGCTCACGCCTTCCTGGGTTGTCGTGCTTCGGCGGCAAAGCAGGGGATCGGGACTGGCAGGATGGACGGATAGGTGGGCGGCGGTCTATCTCCGCTTCGAGGGAGCTCGTGGGTAATCTGCTTGGGCTCCCTGTCGCACCCGCAGGCGTGTCGGTAGGTCGGGCCGGGCGTTTCGCTTGATATTTGCTCACCATAGTTTCTCGGATAGGGGGTGGGCGGTTTCCAAAATTCGTCTCTCGCTTTAGCGCCAAGCGCACTTGTTTTAAACGCATCCAGCAGTGTTGCTCTAGCAGTGTTGCTCTCGCTTCCGCGCCGCACACATTCGCTTTCGCAGTTTGCAGCGTGCTGAAGGGCGGTTCCTTTTCAAACTTTGGTATTCAGCGGCGTGCACATCCGTTTTTAAGCATGCGGCAGCTAACGATGGAGGCAGGGCGGTTTTCACCAAGTGACCCTCGCTTGCAGCAGTTTCAAGGATAAAGGGCCCATCCTTTTCAAATTGTTACTTTTGCCAAAGCGCCGGGCACCTTCGTTTTCAACGTTTGCAGTAATTCACGGATTGAGGGCGGTTCTTTTCAATCTGTGGCACTCGCCTGAACGCCGCCCAGGTTCGTCTTCAGAATTTACAGCACCTTCAGCAATGGAGGTGGGGTTCCAGAATGTTGTTCTCGCAGTAGCGCCGCGCTCATTTGTTTAGCTGTCTGCAGCTGCTTCAGTGATGGAAGGAGGAGGCAGTTTGCAACTGCGGCTTTCGCCTTAGCGCCACGCGCATTCGTCTTAAACGCTTGCAATAGTTTCAAACGATTGGGGGGCCGGGGGCACATGGAGGTATGTCTTTGATTCGCGTTGTCTTGCGGGAGAGGCGCGCTGGGAATGGATGTATAGAGTTATCGTGGAACAAGTGGAGCGTTAAGGCTTTGTCGATTGTGCGGGTGCGCGTGGGATTGGGCGAGTGTGTGCGTGCGTGTGTGTTTTGTGTGTGTGTGTGTGTGTGTTTGTGTGTGTGTCTTTGTGTGTGTGTGTGTGTGTGTGCGCGTGTATGTGGTTTCTGTGGTGATGGTTTTGTTGCTTCTGGTAGTGGCCCTGGGACTGCTGGTTGCATCGATGGTGGTGCTGCTGGTTGCGCGCCTGCTGGTCGCTGTCGCGGTGCTCCTGGGCGTTGTGGTGGCGGTGGCGCTGTCGGTCGCAGGCGCGGGTGCATCTTGTGCAGCAGTTGCGAGGATCGGGGGTCATCCAAGTTTTTAGCCCCCCCACCCCTACTGGAAGGGGGCCTAAAACTTTGATGACCCCCAGCAACAGACAGGCCCCCGGGGGCCTGTCTGTTTCCGAAAGGGGATGTCGCTAGACGCCTCGTCGTTTTGTGGGGTTATTGTTTTCGCATTCGTGCTTGCTGTCGCATTGCTGCGAGGCAATTCCTTCCAAAGCGGGGTCCTCGCCAAGATGGTAGACCTAAGTGTACTGGTCTTTCAAGGCGGGCACTTCTGATTTGGGAACGAGAAAATGTGTAGGGCGCATCAGGAGGGGGCTTGGGGCAGGAGGGTGTAATGCAGCATCGAGGATGCATCTTTGGTTTGCTCTCGTCCTCCTCCTCCTCCTCCGCCTCCTCCTCTTCCTCCTCATCCGCCTCCTTCCCTCCTCCTCCCAGCCTCTCCCCCCTCCCCCCCGCTCCTCCCCTGCCCTTTCGCCTCCCCCCCCCTGCCTCTGGCGCGCGTGCCGCAGCCGTTCTGGTCCAAGCGGTTGCATGGCCGCCTGCCGCCCCACCCAAGCCTTGCCGCGCTGGCCTGGCCTGGTAGCCGCAGACCTGGTGGCTCGTGCGCCATGGACGTGGCCGGGGGCAGGTCCGGGGCCAAAGAGAGGAGGAGAAGCAGGGGGGTGAGGAGGAAGAGGGGCAAGAGGGGGAGGCGGCGGAGGACGAGGAGGCGGGACGGAGGTGGAAGCGGAGGCGGAGGCGGAGGAGGAGGAGGAGAATGAGAGGCGGAGGAGGGTGAGGAGTGAGGAGTGAGGAGTGATGATAATGATGCTGATGATGCTGGCGATGATGATGATGATGATGTTGATGATGCTGACGAGGATGATGATGATGCTGATTATGATGATGTTGACGCTGATGATGATGCCGATGACTATGATGTGGATGATGATACTGCTGATTCTGATCATGATGGTAATGGTGCTGGTGGTGCTGGTGATGCTGATGATGATGATGCTGATGATGGTGGTGATGACGGTGCCGAGAACGAGGATGAGGCTGATGACGATGATGCTGATGCTGATGGTGATGATGATGAGTAACTACGCTGCTGCCGCTGATGATGATGCTGCTGCTGATGATGATGATGATGCTGACGATCATGCTGCTGATGATGATGATGCTGATGGTGATGATGCTGTTGACTATGATGATGCTGATCATGATGCTGATGGTGATGATGATGCTGTTGCTGATGATGCTGTTCATGAATGAACGTGATGTTGATGATGATGGTGATGATGATGCTGATGATAATGATGCTGATGATAATGCTGACGTTGATGCTGATGATGCTGATGATGATGATGACGATGACGGTGGTGGTGCTGGTGATGATGGTGAGAAGGATGATGATGATGATGATGCTGATGATGATGATGATGATGATGATGATGATGATGCTGATGAGGACGGTGATGCTGCTGGTAGTGAAGATGCTGATGCGGACGATGATGGTGATGATGGCGATGCTGATGCTGATAATGATGGCGATGCTGAAGATGGTGACGATGCTGATGCTACAGATGATGTTGCTGCTGCTGCTGCTGCTGATGATGCTGATGATGATGATGATGATGATGATGATGATGATGATGATGATGATGATGATGATGATGATGGTGATTACGCGGCTGCCTATGATGGTGATGCTGAGGATGCTGATGATGATGGTGATGATGACGATGAGGAGGAGGAGGAGGAGGAGGAGGAGGAGGAGGAGGAGGATTGTTCCTCGACGCTGGAGCCAGTAGTGATTTGTATAATTCTTTCTACTACCTCGCATCATGTAAAGCTTGTCGCAGAGAGCCGAAGCTTTCTAGTTACGTACCTCGCGGAGGAAGCTGAGCTATATGGGGCGCTGGCACAAAGAGCGAGCCATCGTTGGCCCTTCAGCGATCGGTGGTCGAGGCCGTGGTTGGCACCGACATCAGCAGGTATCAATGGCTTGTGGGACACGTGTGCCTTGCGACATCTGCGACACCTGTGGGACCTGTGTGACCTCTTGGACCTGCAAGCCCTGCGAGACCTGTGGTACCTGTGATACCTGCGAGACCTATGGGACCTGTGGGGCAGGTGGGAACTTTGGACTTGTGCGTCCTGTTGGACTTGCGAGACCTGCGGGGCTTGTTGGACCTGGGGGATATCAATGGCCTGTGGGACATGTGAGCCCTGCGACATTTGCGACACCTGTGGGACCTGTGGCACCTCTTGGACCTGCAAGCCCTGCGAGACCTGTGGAACCTGAGGTACCTGAGGTACCTGTGGTACCTGTGGTACCTGTGGTGCCTGCGGGACCTGTGGGACCTGGAAGGACATGTGCGGTCCGTACGACCTGCGGGGCCTGTGGGACCTGTGGGACCTGCGGGATGTGTACTGTGGTGCTTGTGGTGCCTGTGGGGCATGTGGGACGTGTGTGACCTGTGGGACCCGTGGAACCTGTGGGCCCGTGGTACCCGTGGGGCCTGTGGAATTCGTGAGACCTCTGGGGCCTGTGAGACCTGTGGGACCTGTGGAACCCTTTGGGGTCCCGGGGACCTGTGGGACCTGTGCGGGAGCGACCTGCGGGCCCGTGGCCGTCCCCCGACAGATCACGTAGCCGGCATGGAGGCCCGGGCGGTCTCGGGCTCCCCGTCCCTCGTGGGACTCTCCTGTGTTTTTGTTTCGCCAGGTCCGCGCTCGCGGGTGCTTCCGAAGGGACCGTGGCCGTCTGGACCGAACAAGTAGCCGGCATGGAGGCGAGAGCACGTTTCTGTACGAAATAGGGAGGAAGTCTCGGGCGACACTGTTGCCAGACCAGGCCGGACGGGGCGGTCTGGGGCTCCCCGTCCCCTCTGTGGGGCTCTGAGACTCTTCTGTTTGGCCGTTTGGACTAACAGCCGGCATTGCAGCGAGAGCACGAGTCCTGAATATATGGTAAGGAAGTCCCAGGCGAAATTGCCTCCGGACCCGTGCTGGGCTGGGCGGTGTAGGGCTCCCCGGCCCCTCCGTGGGACTCTTCTGTGGTCTTTCTCTTGCGTCCAGTGGATGCCTTGTCAGCGAAACGCTGTAAGAACAAGCAGGGACTCGGGGCAGGTCTGGGCCGCAAAACGATTCAAGAACACATCGGCACAGGCACAAGTATTTTGAGGTCTGTACTGGTTCCTTGGATCGGCGCTGGGCTCCGTTGATAGCGCCTCCGCTGCCGCCCCTGGCGCGTTCCGCGCGCCAGGGAGGGGGTCCAGCGCCATTCCAAGAAATCCGCGCGCACCTCCGAAAGCTGTGCAGATGCCTGATCTTCTACACTAGGACGAGCACGGCGACTGGAGTTTTTCGAGCTCCCTGCAGCCTCCGTGGACGCGTTTGTCGGCACGTCTGGACCTCCTTTCCTCTTGTCCTGTCTGCAGCCAGGTGTCAGAGGAGCAAGAAGTCATGGTAATGACAAGCTCCAAGATTTCCACGTGCTCCTGCCAAGAATCTGGGTGCACACGACGCGGCTGTCTTGGGCGAGAGCTGGATACTCATCATGTGGCCCGATGTCTTTACAGCGCTCGGCCCTTCCATGGCTGGGTGCTGCGGGCTTTCGCTTGTGTATCCAGTGCGTGGCCTCCGGATGTTTCGCACGTGAACCCAGCTATCCGTGTCTTCCAGGTTCCTGGTCCTGTCCCGCGCGGACTCCAGAAACGAGGGCCGCTAGATTCCCTGGAACTCCTGGAGGGTATCGGGCGCCAGCCGTATCATGGCGTCAGCCTCATATTTTCAGGATCCACTTCGAGCGGATCGATCCGATTCGGTATCGAATCCGGTCAGCCCGATGCGATTCGTTTCCGATGTTCCGAAGATCCGATGCGGCCCGATGCTCTCTTGGCGCTGTTGTGCATCCTGGCGCGGCCAGTCCAATTCGATTCCGACCCCGTGGTTGTGCGGCCCGATCCGACGCACCTTCGATCCGATCCGACTTCCCGATTCGGTGCTGACTCGTGCTGAAAACTCCGAGGCGGGGTTGCATCCCTAAACGCCGCCTGGGAGATCGATATTCGGGACCTTCGGCATGCGGCGGACATTGATACATTCGGGCCCTGGGGTGGCCAAAAATACATCTGTCCACCGCCGGCCGACCCCCGCCTCGTCTTGCGGGCCTCTTGGGGCCGTCTTGGGCCGTCTTGGTGCGATCCTGGGGGTCTATGGGGCCGTCTTGGCGCGTCGGAGGCCTGAACTGGCGAGAGCGCTAAATTCCTTGAAACACTTGAGGGGAACCCATGATTTTGACCTCGTGGGGGTTCTCTTGGATCCCTGTTGGACGCCGCCAGATGCCCTCGGGAACTCCCGGAGCGCACCCGAACGGCTGGCGGCTGGCGGCATCGTGGCATCACCGCCTCGGCCTCCCTGCAAGAGGGAGGGCGAGGACGACGAGGAGGCGTACACAGAGGAGGCCGACGAGGACGACGTGGACGACAAGAGAGGGGGGACGAGCACGGGGAGGCCGAGCACAAGGACGGGGAGGAGGAGCACGAGGACGGGGCGGGGAGGACGGCGACGGGGAGGAGGAGCACGAGGACGGGGAGGACGAGGACAATGATGGCGAGGACGGCGATGAGACGCACGATTGGAGTAGGAGATCGGCTACATAATTGATTTACCCCCAAATCTAGATGATCGTATAATTCAGACAACTACGTACACTTCTTCGTAGATTTGCGAACATTCCACGTTTTATTCGCAGACTCTACGAACGAAACAGATGTTGCGGGACAATGAAATTCTGTAGTCGATCCTCCACCCGAGCGATTGGAGACGGGCAGCGAGTCCGCCCGTCTCCTCCTCTCCCCCTCCTCCCCCGAGCAGGGGCGCGCGGCTGCCCTTGGCCGGCGAGCTTCCCCCGCCCGAGCCTGGGCGTCGCGAGGGGCAGGACCTCTTCGTGGGGGGCCTCCTCCTCCCCCGCCTCCTCCCTCCCTTTCCTCATGTTCCTCCTCCTCCCTCCCTCCCTGCTCCTTCCTCCCCTCCCTCACTCCTCCCTGCTCCTCGTCCTACTCCCTCCCTCCCTCCCTGCTCCTCCTCCCTCCTTCCCTCCCTCCTCCCTCCCTGCCTCCTCCTCCCTCCTTCGTCCCCGCACCCCTCCTCGCTTCATCCCCCCCCACCCTCCACCCCCAACGAAGACGCTCGTGGGGAGGGGTGCCAGCGTGCCTCCACAACTCTGACCCTCAGTGCCATCCAGCGCTTCCCCGCCCTCCGCCGAGGGCCTCCTCCCTCCTCCCCCGCGCAGGGCGGCGGGCGGCCCCGCCGCCTGCGCGCCAGCGCGCTCCCAGCCCGCGTGCGCCGCGCCCTCGGGCGCCGCGCTCTCGGGCGCCGGCGCCCCGAGAGCGCGCGGGCGGGGGCGCCGCGGGGTGCGCCGTGCCGTGGCGGGGAGGGGCCCCGGGCGCCGCTAGCCCGAGATGCGAGCAGGAGCTGGGCCGGCGCAGGGCCCGAGGCAGAGTCGAGCAGGAGCCGGGCCGGCGCAGGGCCCAGGCACATAGTCGGGAGCTGCTGCAGGTGCCCCCTGGCCCGTGGTGCCCCCTTCGCACCGTCTCGCTCGAAGCCCTTCTGCTGCGGTGCCATCAGGCCTGTCGAATAGACCGGCAGGCCAGGCCCCACGGGTATGACATACTGAAGCTGCGGATCATGGTCTCCTGCGGCCGCAGCGGACGCCGCCGCCGAAGCCACAGCCGTTGGAGCCGCTGCCGCCGATAAAGCAGTATCCTGCACCCGTGCACGCTTGACTCCCATGGCAGCCAGCTGCTGCTCGAATGCGGGCTTGTCACCTGTTGCCGCATGGAATCATTACACATCCATACATCCTCAGAACAGAGTCCATCGAACACATCAGCCTGAGGCATGGAGGCATTACCTCCCCAAACAGGCATCTCTTCCGCATGTGTTTGGGGAGCTGGAGCCCGTGGTACAGACTGGACGAGCTTCTGGAACTTCTCCAAGACTGGATTTGCCATGAGATCTCGGACATCAGCATTGGCCTCGAGAACCTCTGGCGGCAACTTGAACGGAAGGTGCAGCACTTGCCGAGGTCAGCATTGTACGCCGCAGCCCTTCCTCCAAGGCAGCAACCTAGCGTGAGGTGCCGCCTCTTTCTCCTGCAGCTCCACAAGAGACTTCTGAGCCGTCTCGATGAGTTTCTTCTGTGCAGTGACCGTGAGCCGCCTGCAACCGAACGGCGGCGGGCTTGTTCCTGCAGGACAGGCTTGGTGTCGCGCTGGGCCTTGCGAGCCTCGCGCAGCTGGTCCTCAAGGCACTGCTTGGCTGGGTCACTGGGTGCGGCCTCGCTGGGCTGCTTGAGGGCCTCCTCCAAAGACTCGATCTTTGCAGCCCGCTGTTCATCAGTGTCAGCATGAGCATCACCGCCGTCTGCAGCTGCCGCCTGCGGACTCCCGTTCCCCGACTTGGGGTCCTTCAGTGCCTTCAGCTTCGATTTGAACCTCTCCTCCAGCGCCGACGTGATGGACGCCACCAGATCATGCTGTTGGGGACCACCTTGTGTCCACCTTCCCTTCGGCGCTCGACGTGTACATGGAGCCGGCTGCCGGCTTCACTCCTTCTCGTGCTTGCGCGCCGCCCGCACCACTCGAGAGGGGGAGGAGCGGCTCCGCACAGGCGCTCGATGAGGTTGGCCCAAGTCGCAAGGCGAGCACACTGAGGGCAAGACCACAGATGCGTGCGCGGGCCTCTGAGCACGGAGCCACCTCGAAATATGCTCACGCTGGCTGGCTAGGGGGTGGCGGTATGTGGAAAGCACTGACGTCATCTTGGTCCGTCGAGACAGGCCGTTCGGAAGTTTGCCTCGACAGGCTCACGGAACTCTTGAGCCAGCACGGCTGAGGAGGAGGAGGAGGAGGAGGAGGAGGCATATGAGCAGGATGACCAAAATGAGGACGAGGAGTGGGGCGAGGAGGGTGGGGGTGGGGGGGCAGGGGCACGGTGCGCTGGGGCTGTCATGGGAAGGTTCGGAGGATGAGGAGGACGCTTTCGTTGCGAACCTCGCCTCGCTCGCCCCGAGGACGAGGTGCGCGCCACCGTGCGGGAGCCGCCCGGACCTGAGAATTCTATGCGGCGGCGGACTGTTTCACGTGTAAGCGCACACGCACACGCACACGCACACGCACACGCACACCCACACGCACACGCACACGCACACGCACACGCACACGCACACGCACACGCACACGCACACACGCACACGCACACACGCACACAAACACACAAACACACACAAACACACAAACACACACAAACACACAAACACACAACCACTCAAGCACACAACCACTCAAGCACACACAAACACACAAACACACAAACCCACAAACCCACAAACACACAAACACACAAACACACACAAACACACACAAACACACACACAAACACACAAACACACACACAAACACACAAACAAACACACAAACACACAAACACACAAACACACAAACACACAAACACACAACCACACAAACACACAAACACACAATCACACAATCACTCAAACACACAAACACGCAAACACACAAACACACAAACACACAAACACACACAAACACACACAGACACACAGACACACAGACACACAGACACACAGACACACAGACACACAGACACACAGACACACAGACACACAGACACACAGACACACAGACACACACACAGACACACAGACACACAGACACACAGACACACAGACACACAGACACATCCGTAGCCATTTTGGCTCAAGCCGTGCCTGGGCGCGCTCGGGCAAGATGGCGCGGGAGAGTCTGCGCGGGGTGGCTGGTGCCCGCTTCGCTGCCGACCGCCTTGTGCAGCGGCTGACGCGCGAGCTGGCAGAGGCCCGGGGCGAGGCCGCAAGGCTCCGCGAGCTGCTCGAGGCGAAGGTCGACTGTGAGGGGGACCCCGAGGTGCTGCGGCGTGAGGCGATCGCGAGGCCTGTCCTGGCGGCCCGCGTCGCCGGCAGACCCGAGGCCCCAGCAGCCAGGCGGCGGCGCAACGTGGCCTGGCACGCCGCTTCCTGCCCGCCGGCCAGAGCGGAGCCGGCCGCATGGCGCAAGGCCGAGCGCGGGCCCCGCCTGGGAGCAGCTCCCAGGCCTGCTGGTGCTGCCCACGGCGGTGCCAGCCGTGAAGGGGCGGCGCGGCCGCCGCTGGAGATACAGGTCGAGATCTGCGTCGCCGAGCCCGCCGTGAAGCTCGGGCGACCAGCGGAGCCGAGGGCGAGCCTGCGGTCATGCGCCCAGCCCTTCCGGTCGAGGCGCACGCCGCTGCGGAGCGGGGCCACGCCGTACGTGTCCTTCCGCCAGCTGAGCTGCGAGGAGACCGCCGAGGAGGTGCTCGCGGCTTTGGACTGCGGGCCCCCGGCTCCCGTTGACAGGGCAGAGCCTGGCCCTCCCCGTGACGGGGCTAGGAAGACAGACGTGGTGCAGGAGGAAGACGGCGCAGCTGCCCTCCAGGTGCCGTGTCGTGCCGAGAGGCCCCAGGTGGGCGGTGCTGCAGGCGCTGGAGCGCCGCCGCCGCCGCTGGAGCACCTGGGAGGCCCAACTGGAGAGCAGGGCGACAGCAGGCACGGCGAGGGCGAGAGCGCCGAGGGGAGCCAGGACAGCACGGTGTGCTCCGCGACCCTCTCTGCCGCCACCGCCGAGCGCAACGATGCTGTCACGCAGTACCTGCTAGATAACTATGCTGCGCTCCTCCGAGGGGGAATCGGAAGCGTCGAGCGCGATGAGGACGTCGAAGGCGCCGTGGGCGGCGATTGCAGTTCCTGCGTCTCCTCCGTGTCAGGGGTCTTCAGGGACTACGGGCCCGACCACGGCCAGTACCTCATCGACGAGTTCTCCGACGGCAGCGAGCGCGCTGCCGAGTACGACCTCGAGCGTGCCGCATGGCTAGCCCAGGGCTCGCCGAGCTTCGCCGAGCAGTCCGCTCGGCTGGAGCGCAGCAGCCACTTCGGAGATGAGTTCGAGTGAGGACTTCTCAGTGTTCAGAGTACGCGCGAGGCTGTTCTTACAGAAGCGTCCGCTGGTTTATTGTCAGTGTTCTCCTGCTCTGAATGTGATGGCGCGTTGAGGGTGTGAGTGAGTGGCCTTCTGTATTTGCATGTGTGCGTGCTTGTTGCAGTCTGTGCCCGCTTGCACAGCCACTCCGAGGATGATTTCGAGTGAGGTCTTCTCAGGGTTCTGAGTACGCGCGAGGCTGTTCTTGGCAGATGCGTCCGCTGGTTTGTTTGGTCAGTGTTCTCCTGCTCGGAATGCGATCGCGCGTCGAGTGTGTGAGTGAGTGGCCTTCTGTATTTGCATGAGTATGTGTTTTTTGCAGTCTGTGCCCGCTTGCACCGCAATTTTCCTCTTGTATGTTCCTTGGTACGGGAGATGCCCTATAGACGGGGGTTGAGCTTCGGACGTGTCGTGCTGCGCCTCGGGGCCGCAGCGCCCTCGAGGCAGGAGTTTTCCGACGTCGTCGAGGCCCTCGGGGCCGAAGCGCCCTCCTCCTGTCTTGGGAAGGCCCCTGTGGGCCAGGGCCCCTCACGTGGGCCTGGGCCCTCAGTGGGCCCCTTTTGCCCTTATAGGCCCCGCGTGACAGACGCGCAAACGCGCGGACACACAGACGCACAGACACACAGACACGCAGACACACATACACACAGACACACAGACACACAGACACACAGACACACAGACACACAGACACACATACGCACAGACACACAGACACACAGACACACAGACACACAGACACAAAGACACACATACACACAGACACAAAGACACACATACACACAGACACACAGACAGAGACACACAGGCACACAGACACACAGACACACAGACGCACAGACACACAGACACACAGACACACTGACACACAGACACACAGGC